CCGTGCAAATCCGACTGATTCATCCTTGGCATCTCATTTCGACAAGAAAGAAAGGTTGTCTAGGAGGATTGCCTTTTGATTGACTGGCAGTCATTTTTACTTATTCCGTGCGCACTATTCAACTGCCGTTTGTCGGCTCTCAAAAAGGCTCACAAGCTATAGAGAAAGGACCCGCAACCTCGTTTGTACTCCGGGAGGGACATCAAGATCGTCAAGTTGTGCCCCCAGTCCACGACTCTCCTCCGTCATCTACTCTCTTACTCAAGCCTTTGTCTGGTCTCGATTCCTTCCAAGGGTGGGCCTCTAACCGGTTATCTACCAATCTTCGTACTATTTCGATCTGGGCCTACAGCATCGTGAATCATTGTCTCGGTTAACAGCACCTTTTGATTACGAAAGTCCCAGCAAAGTTCTCAAGTGAGCTCCTGGAGAATCGAAAGGGCTTTAAATTCGCTGGAGGGAGTAATCTCTTAAGGTTAGTTTAATTATCCCCTTTGCCACTGATGCCATGGTGCCTTGCATCCGTCCCCTGCCTTTTGGGCTCCTTGCTTCTCCCAGGTCGTGCCCTTGGGGCACAAGGGCCCCCAGGAAAATTAGGACCCATGATGGACTTTCCCAGGTGCTTGTCATTTCCCCGAATGGTTTTGCTCCCCTAGTCCCGGATGTTTGTTATTGACATTCTTATGGCGTAGGCTATTTCGTCAGATATTTGGTGACGGTGAACTTTGCATAATAGCTTTCCGCTAGCCTCGCCTGCGGTTTTGAATCCTTTATTACTCTTGGTCAATCCTACTAGCTTATGCAGCAAGCCGATTCCTTTCACCTTTGGACGGTTCGTACTCATTAGCTAGGTAGTTCGTGGCCCCAACTGTCTTTCAGTTCACCTGGGTCTTGTCGGCTCCAAAGAGTAAAACCTCTTTTGTTTCTGTCTGCGTCGACTTGATACCACTCACTCGTTGAGATTGGCCTGCGCAATTCAGTCATTGTCTCGCCAGCCTGGACCGTACGTGGAATTATCATACGTCCTTCGCAGATGCAAACTGGGTCCCTATAGGTGGCTTTTCAAGCAGCATTTGTTAGCGTGGCTTATCTCCAGCTCTCGTCCTGCAGCCATCCTTTCCGGTCTCACACTCCGTCGTTGGATGCTGGTCGTTGATTCGAAGCCCGTTGTTGCGTATTCCTTGTTGAGCCTGACAGCCGCTTCGTGTCGTCACTCGTTTTGTCTCGGAGAGCAATTAAAGACTCTCCGCCATCCTATCGTTTCCCCAGTTAAATTCGCTGTCATTCGCTTCTAAGCGGTTGTGTTTCGTTGCAGTTTCTGCAACACCTTCAAGCTGGCTTACTCGAAGGCACACGGTGTTTTGGTACGTCGATATACTTCGTCCTGTCTCTCCTTTTGCTGCCCAATTGTCCCTGTTCCAACCATCTTGCCTTGCTTTTCTCTCTTGTGTTTAAGAAGCTATGTTATTTTCCAGTCTCGCTAGAGACTCCCAAATTGTCCTGTTGTCTCGAAAACACTGGACGTCTGTTAACATCTTCACTTCACAGTTCGACCCTGATTTCCAAACCCCGTTGATTCTAGACGAATCCTTAGATTTATCAGACACTGAAGAGTCACGGTTTATCGGTTCGCTATCAGACGGCCTGTTGGCCAAGTCTGAACCTATCTTGTCTATGTCTACCCTTCAGAAGCCTCCACAGGCGGCCTTGCTCGGTAAGTTTGCTCGGGACTGGTATTCCGGTGCTTTATTTAGAGAAACCTGGTGGCGCCACCCTTTCTTGTTTGAGACAGAATTGCTGACTATATATCTAGATTACGAATCTGCTAGGTCCGTACAAGATGGTGCCTCCTATTCCAGTTTCGGTCAGGCCCCATACGTGACGAGTACACCAATGGTGCCATCTCCCATGGCCGACCATGCGAGTCAAATATCCGACTGTGTCCCATACATGGGAAATCAAGAATATGCCAGCTCTTACGAAGACAGTCGGTCACCCATGCTAGGTGGCGAATCCCGTCAACTGCCAGAGGTTATCTCTTATTCTCCTCAAAGAGGGTCAGAAGGGACTCGGGTATTCGTGCAAATCCAGTCCCCATATGACCTTCACACTTCATCTTATGCAACTCTTTACCTGGTTTTTGGTTCCAAGAAGTGCGAGTGTGTGCCGCATTTCCTAGGATTCCAGGGCTCTTTGTTTCAGTATGCTCTCTCGGTGGACACCCCTCCATTCATCTCGACGGGCTCGCCATCTTTCGCCGTGCCCTTGCAAGTGGCGATGAATGCTCAAAACGAGTGTCCTTCTACCACCCTTCAGGTTGGTGTATATACCTATGAGAACGCTTCCCATCCCTCGCCGTCGGACGAGTCCCGAAAGAGGATCGTGTCATACTCGGAGGAACCTAGGTCAGGCAAGAGGACGACTGGGCCGCCAATCCATGGCAAGGAGCAGCCGCCAGCCTACTCTTACTCGCCTTATTTGCAATCGTTGCCTGGGATGAATGGCTTCGTCGCTCCATACCACCCAACCTCGTCACCCCGAGTTGCTCCCGCGCAGTACTCGACTGTAACGGCAACGTCACAGTCCAACATCCGAGCACCCTCGCCCCTCGCTCCTTCATGGAGCCCTTCATACGTGACTGTTCACGGTGATTCCAGAGCTCCTGGGTTCGCTTATGCCCACAGCCTCCGCCACCAAAAGCCAACTTCCCCCGGGCGGATTACCAACCCAACGCTTATTCGCACCTCCACACTGCAACAGTCAAGCGGACTTAGTCATCACACCCAGTCGTTCAACCCCTATGCCATGTATCCCTCGAAGGCGATCTTGAAGCTCAATGGCAGCTTGGACTCGATGACAGAAAGCTGGACTAAAGAGGAGCGCGAGACCAAGAGGCGCTTGGTTCAATTCACTCGTATGCAAAGTGGGAGCACCATCCATGCGGACTTTAACCCCGTTACTCCTGAAGATCGTGCTCCCAACAGTATCTGCATTAGTTGCATCTACTGGGATGGCAAAGATGAATGCTTCATAACGAGTGTGGATACCATTTACCTGCTTGAGTCGCTTGTTGGTGTTAGGTTCACCGTGGAGGAGAAGAATCGTATTCGCAGGAACCTGGAAGGCTTCAGGCCACTTACCGTTTCGAAATCAAAAGCCGATAGCGAGGATTTCTTCAAGGTGATCATGGGCTTCCCTGCGCCAAAGCCACGCAATATCGAGAAGGATGTCAAAGTATTCCCTTGGCGGATACTCGGTCATGCACTAAAGAAGATCATTGGTAAATACGTAAGTGGTGGATTCCTTCTGCTGCAAATCTTTGACGCAAACACTGACGTACTTGGGTCATAGTCCGCAAGCTACTCTTCGACTGCTGGGGCGCTTCCCACACCCATCAGCTCAACTTATACAAGTAATGGAGCTGCATCGGACTCTGGCACTGAACCCCCGAACGCGGCATCCCCACAGTCTGTCTCGGACACTGGTCCATCAACTACCTATGGTGCCCATGTGGCAGCCGCAGCATACTCCCCTCCAGCACATCACCCTGGGCATTCCATGACCGGCACTCATGAGCTGCGGGCTGTGCTACCTGCTGTTAGCCAACCCTACCATCCTATGGCTGCCCCCTATTCTTATCCAGCCGTCTGCCAACAACAGAGTCAACTTGGTCTCACTGCACCTGTTAGTAGGACTTGGGAGATCAACCCTCTCATCAACGCTCCTGGCACAAATGGAGGCCCCACATACAACTACTTGACCCCAATGTCATACTCCGTTCAAGACCCGTCTCATTAAGCCGGGACCTCTATAATACGTTATCCCTTTTTCAATCGCATTGCACGGCGTTTTCGGTTTTGTGCGTTCGAGTTTATCCTTCCTGATATCCCATTATCGTCACTCCTTTTTTAAGCCACGGCGCTAGGTCAATAACCATGTCTAACATGTTGGGGCTATTTTGAGTTGGCTTCAGCGTGTTCTTTGATGATCATTTACATGATCGACGTCTCTCCTTTCATTCTTCATGTCTTAATGCCCCATTCTTTTCGTCATTTAAAGCCTGTTGACATGACGCATTTTAGACGATCTGTTGTCCGTTCCCTCCAGCATTTGCATTATATAGGGGCATTGGGATTTCACTCCTTTCCGGAAATTGTACAATTATTTTTGGCATAGCATGGCGCTGCTGTCGTTCCTTTTGGTTTCGCAGGTCTGGGTATTTGGAATTTATGGGTGGGATGGCGAAGGAAAAGTGTGCAATGTGTTTTGTTTTTCTGATGCGCCGTGGTTCACTTGTGCCTTGAGCATAGTGAGACTTCAGGCAGACTTTGTGTTCTTTTACTTATTTGGATCGACCTCGACTATATATGCATAGCTTTGGCGTCTGTGAATACCGCTATATTTTGTTTTTGTTTTTGTCTTTGTTGATTGATTGATTGATTGATTGATTGATTGATTGATTGATTGATTGATTGATTGATTGATTGATTGATTGATTGATTGATTGATTGATTGATCGATCGATTCCATTCAACCACATCTGTGTTATTGATTGACTTGAGAATGGCTTTATAGTATAGTACCAAGATTCCGCCCATTAATAATAGCTGATTGTTTCTGTTTTATGTACGGAAGGAATACTTGGTGATAACTCGAGCCCTAATCTCCGGACCCTATCCCGTACCTCCGATGGTACCGTACAATCGATACATACCGTACGGGAAGAGAATTCCTGACCGGGCTTATCTTATCGCCACATCACCTGACTCGGCGGGACAGCGGCGATGGCAATTTGAATGCAGAGACCAGATGCGCCATGACTCAAAACGCAGCGTGACTTTAGCCGGGACTTCATTTCCTCCTTCTCCATTGACCCCCTCATATCCCACCCATTAACTGACCTAATTGACACTCCGGGGATCCACTTCACCCCTTTATCTTCCTGCCCGTTCGCAAAGTCAACTGTCCCTGGACCCTTCCCCTCACTCACCACCGCCACCATGGAAGGCATCAAGAAGACCTTTGCCAAGGCTAAGCAGGAGAAGCGCGCCGCCTTGGTAGCGTATTTCACTGCCGGATATCCCACCGTCGAGGAGACTGTGGATATCCTCCTTGGCTTGGAAAATGGAGGCGCTGGTACGTGACAGCTCCCCCATACTATACCCCGCCACTTATCAGTCTCGTTTTGGAATGCAGTTCGCTGACGCAATGGGGCGAGGTATACAGACATTATCGAAATGGGAGTGCCCTTCACTGACCCCATCGCCGACGGACCGACAATTCAGAAGGCTAACACCAAGGCATTGGAGAACGGCGTCACAGTCACAACTGTCCTTGAGAAGGTCAGGGAAGCCCGCCGTAGAGGTCTCCAAGTGCCGATCCTTTTGATGGGCTACTACAACCCTATGATGCGTTATGGTGAGGAACGTATGCTCAAGGACTGCAGGGAGGCTGGTGTCAATGGTTTCATTATGGTCGATTTGCCCCCTGAGGAAGCTGTGCGTTTCAGAGAACACTGCACCAGCAATGGGTAAGTGAACGTCTTCGCATGATACTCCCTACTTGCTCGTTTGAATGGCAATGTGTTGACATCTTGTACAGCCTTTCTTTCGTCCCCCTCATTGCCCCCGCGACGTCAGAGTCCCGCATGAAGCTCCTGTGCAAGATCGCCGATTCTTTCATCTACGTCGTTTCGAGAATGGGCGTCACCGGTGCCACCGGAAAACTCAGCGCAAACCTTCCTGAGCTTTTGTCTCGTGTTCACAACTGGTCTGGCAATGTGCCAGCTGCCCTAGGGTTCGGTGTCAGTACTCGCGAGCACTTCCTGACTGTACAGGATCTAGCCGAGGGGTGTGTTATTGGTAGCCAGATTATCACGGTCTTGGGTCAAGCCCCTGCTGGTCAGGCGGCTAAGCATGCCGAGGAATACCTCTCCAGTGTTACCGGTCGCAAACTGGAGAGGGATGCGCAGGGTGCAATTATACGCCAGGTCAATGTGATCGACTTCGTGGAGAAGAAGGAGCAGCAGGCCATCTCCCAACCCACAGCCGTTGTCACTGATGTCGATGCTCCTTCGGGCCCGGGATTGGCCGATCAACTCGAAGCTCTCAATGGCGGAAACCCTTCTGCGCAGCCACAGCGTTTTGGTGAGTTCGGTGGACAGTATGTTCCCGAATCCCTCATGGACTGCCTGGCCGAGTTGGAGCGGGGATTCGCAGAGGCTTTGAACGACCCCAAGTTCTGGGAGGAATACCGTTCTTACTACCCATATATGGGCAGACCTAGCAGCCTTCATCTTGCCAACCGTCTTACAGAGCATGTTGGAGGCGCAAACATTTGGTTGAAGCGTGAGGATCTTAACCACACCGGAAGTCACAAGATCAACAACGCACTAGGCCAGATCCTCCTTGCCCGGAGACTGGGCAAAACGAGAATCATTGCTGAAACAGGCGCTGGCCAGCACGGTGTTGCTACTGCGACTGTCTGCGCTAAGTTCGGCATGGAATGTGTTGTCTACATGGGTGCAGAAGACGTTCGCCGTCAAGCCCTGAACGTTTTCCGTATGAAGCTCCTCGGTGCCTCTGTGGTGGCCGTTGATGCTGGAAGCCGTACCCTGCGTGATGCCGTCAATGAGGCCCTCCGTGCCTGGGTTGTTGATCTGGACACCACTCATTACATCATTGGCTCTGCAATTGGACCTCACCCCTACCCAACCATTGTGCGTACGTTCCAGTCCGTCATTGGTGACGAGACTAAGCAGCAAATGATGGAGCAAATCGGCAAGCTACCCGATGCAGTCGTTGCTTGTGTCGGTGGTGGCAGCAACGCCGTCGGCATGTTCTACCCCTTCTCCAAGGACACCAGCGTCAAGCTCCTGGGTGTCGAAGCTGGAGGTGACGGTGTCGACACTGACAGACACTCCGCCACCCTCTCTGGCGGTAGCAAGGGCGTGTTGCACGGTGTCCGCACCTACGTTTTGCAGGACGAGCACGGCCAAATCTCCGAGACCCACTCTATCTCCGCCGGTCTCGACTACCCCGGTGTCGGCCCGGAACTGAGCAACTGGAAGGACAGCGACCGCGCCCAGTTCATCGCCGCCACCGACGCCCAAGCCCTCGCCGGCTTCCGCGCCCTCGCCCAATATGAGGGTATCATCCCTGCCCTGGAATCCTCTCACGCCATCCACGGCGCCATGGAACTCGCCAAGACCATGAAGAAGGGCGAGAACATCGTCCTCAACCTCAGCGGCAGAGGTGACAAGGATGTCCAGAGCGTTGCCGATGAACTTCCCCGCCTGGGTCCCAAGATCGGCTGGGATCTGCGTTTCTAAAAAGCTTGCTACTACTACGCGAGGCTTAAACACCTATTGGTTTGATCTATTTTAGATATCCGGGCTTCGTATAGTCCTACGGTTGATTGATTCGATAGACACTCGCTGATGAGTGATGATAAAATACAGAGAAAAGTTTCTTTACTTAGCGCGTTTCTTATGACGTCTTTTCGGGGTTCATTGTTTTTAAGATCTGTTTTGGATATCCAGCATGCAGCCTAGGTGTTGTTTAGATTCATTATCCTTTTCTTTTTTCTTTTTCTATTCCTTATCACTCTATTTTGTCACACCGGTACCAGTAGATTATTCCCTACATACGTATCCAGCGTCATCAAGAGGGTGAACAAGGAAATGACCAATATGAGCTATATGATATACAACTACGATGAAGAGTATATGCAAAGTTCGTAGCGGACAAAGACAGACGAATAGCTTAACATGCAATGATAAAGCAAACACGAATAGATATCTCGGGATAAAAAGAAAACCGCCCGCCGCCGTCATCCTTCTTCTCATCTTCGGGAATTCAGTTCATTTATGAGATGAATCGAACCTAGGTCTCAATGAGATCACCAGTCGACGACTTAGTTTGTTCAGGGACGCTGTTGTCCCTCGTGTCCTTGTTGGCGATCTTACGGGAGGAGCGAGCGTAGAATTCGTCCAGGACGCGCTTGGGGATACGGTTGAGGAGGTCCTTAGGGTAGATGCGGAGCAGGTTCCAGGCAATGTCTAGGGAGTCATAGATACTGCGCGATTCGTAGGGGGACTGGCTGATGAAGGTCTTCTCGAACTTCTCCAAGAATTCGAGGGACAACTTGTCTTCGGAGGACAAGGCTTCCTCACCGACGACTGCCTTCATGGCGGCTGTTGTGATAATTTTTGTCAGTACCGCATGGCTTTTTGGGACTCATGGTGGGGGTGACTAACCGGCATCTCGTCCAATAGCGTACTTGGCGTACAGCTGGTTGGACACATCAGAGTGGTCCTTACGGGTACGACCCTCACCAATGGCAGACTTCATCAGACGCGACAGGGATGGAAGGACGTTAATTGGGGGGTAGACACCCTTGTTGTACAGCTGACGATCAATGAAGATCTGGCCCTCAGTAATGTAGCCTGTCAAGTCGGGAATAGGGTGGGTGATATCTGATACAAGGTCAACACACTGTTTCTCTGATCGAAGGAGGGAAACACACCATCGTTAGGCATAGTCAGAATAGGAATCTGAGTGATAGATCCATTACGACCCTCTACACGTCCAGCACGCTCGTAGATAGTGGACAAGTCAGTGTACATGTAACCGGGGTAGCCACGACGACCGGGCACTTCTTCTCTGGCAGCGGAGACTTCACGAAGAGCATCACAATAGGCCGAAAGATCAGTCATGATAACCAGGACGTGCTTCTCCAATTGATAAGCGTAATATTCGGCGGTTGTCAGGGCAAGACGAGGGGTAATGATACGTTCAATGCTAAAGCAAATAGTCAGTATCGCATGTACAGTAAACGCAGAAGGACCCCGAGTATTGGATGATGAACGTACGTAGGGTCGTTAGCCAAGTTCAGGAACAGCGTGACACGCTCCATACTGCCGTTCTCCTCGAAATCACGGGTGAAGAAACGGCTAGTCTCCATGTTAACACCCATAGCGGCGAAGACGATCGAGAAGTTCTCTTCGTGTCCATCGTGGACGTCCTTAGTCGGCTTGCCGACCAAGCCAGCCTGGCGACAAATCTGGGCAGCAATTTCGTTGTGTGGAAGACCAGAAGCGGAGAAAATAGGAATCTTCTGACCACGGGCAATAGAGTTCATGGTGTCGATGGCAGAGATACCGGTGGAGATCATTTCTTCGGGGTACACCTTTACACCATCCCGTTAGCGATCTATAGCTCCGTCATCGAAACCACTAGGGCATAGCGGGCGCATACTCTCGAGTAAGGGTTAATAGGTTGGCCGTTGATATCCAAATAATCCTCCGCCAGCACCTTAGGGCCCTTATCAATGGCGCGACCCGAACCATCGAATACACGACCCAGCATGTCCTCCGACACACCCAGCTTTAAGCTGTGGCCGCTGAACTCGACCTTGGTCTAAGACAAAGTCAGCATGACGATCCAGCAAGGTGTGCAACAACCCAAAAAGATTATTGCCGTTGTAGTATACCTTCTTGACATCAATACCCGGAGTACCTTCGAACACCTAGCCGGAAAGCCACGTTAATGCTCCGCCCGAAAGCAACTTGTATTAAAAACTTATGTTCTAGAGTAATTCGCACCTGAACGACGGCTCTGTTTCCTATTCACCGGATATCTGAGTTAGCTTCTCTGATCGATCCTGCCAGGGCCTCTTCTGGATAAGCTCAACATACCTCTAGCCTCCAGGACCTGACCAGACCGTTCGGTACCATCAGGAAGAGTCAGGGATACAATCTCGTTGTATCGGGGAAATTTAACCTAAGCCAACACCATTGTGAGCTTAAATACTTGACATGAAAGCTTCTTCAGCTTGTCATCTAAGACACAGTGGAGGGGCATACATTATCCAAGATGACCAGCGGTCCGTTAATACCTGCGATCGTATTGTAGCGAATACGAGGCTTGACGGAAGTCATTCTGGGGTCAACGAATTCGGACGCCATGGCTGCAGAGTTCCTGACCAGCTGCCGAGAATGGATACAGGAGGGGGCCGCGAAGGAGAGGGTGGGGAGTGAAGGAAGAGGAGCTCCTGACGTCGGGGCCAAGTGAGATCGTACGTAGTCCGATATGATGGCTGGTCTCCGCAGTCGTTGGGCGGTGACCCGTGCACGTGATACCAGCTCGAGCTATGACATCGCCTACAAACATACACATTGTTACATATATAACCGATGAGACACAATTTTAGCTGTCTAGGGGACTCGTCCCAACTCATTATGTTTTATTCTGATATTCAAATGTCATGAGGATATCCTTGTGCTGATCGTTGTCATATCAAACTGACCCCTTAACCACATGGAACTATGCGTGTAGGGACGCCATTCAAAAAAAAGAAGAAATGAAAAGAGAAAAGCAGTATTCATGCGATGATAAGAGAAACAGAAAGAAAGATAGGCAAAAGGGCATCTTCGTCCATCATGGTAACAATAATTCATAATCATACAGGTTGAGAATTGAAGGTAAATGATCGAGAAAGTGCGTGAAAAAAAGACCTGCGCCGTGTGGCTAGAAACCGTCCAGCTATCCGAAATGCAAACGCGAGAGGTGTGCTGTCAACCTAATCCACCTTTGCCATTGCAAGCTTCTTGGGTGTTGACAGATTATTTGACAAACGAATGTTCGTCTTCTTGGTCTTGGATTGCTTCTTCAGCTTCTTCCGGGCAACCATGACCGGAACCGAAGAATGCGTGACCAAATAATTGGAAAATGACCCGAGAAGTACACTGCAGGGCATTAGCTTTTGTAGGTGCTTTCGAGTAGGATGATGAATAATTACCCTTTCAGAGCGCTCCGGCCCCTGGCGCCGACAATGACCAGGGTTGGCTCAAGCCCATCGATCTAGAAAACAAGAAAGATGTCAGTCGCTTCGAGTAAGGGCAAAGGGGAAAAGGTCCATAGTTGCACCACGTACAGCTTCGGTAATCATATGTTTAGGGCTCTTGCAATGGATCACCTCAACGGCAACCCGTACTTGTAACAGAGTCTTTCTGAGGAGTCGGACACACGTTTGTGAGATAACTTCAACCGCATGAACGCGTTCGGACTCCGCTTTGGACATCCCCCGAGAATCGACAGAGCCGGGTTTGCTGTCTGTTCCAGAGCCCAGTCGGCTCAAGAGCGCACGCGATAAATTAGTGGACGAATCGTTTTGCGATTGCTGCGCCGTCTCTTCGGTCTGCGACCCCACAACGGCCGCAGCATCCTGCATGGCTTTGGCGCCCTCCCCAATTTGAACGGAGGTTGGCGCACCGGTCTCTTCATGAATAGCACAAACAGCAAACATCGTGTCGCCATCTCGAAGGATCGTGCCGATCGTCCATTCCAGGGCATAAACGGATTCTTCACTGAGGTCCGTAGTTACCAGATACTTGCGCTGTCGGCGACGACCACTTTCCGTTTGTTCTGATAGGCCGGTATAGTCACCGCGGATGATAGTCCGGATAGACCTATTGTGCACGGAACTGTCAATGGTGGACATTTGGATTCCGAGTTTTTGCGCCCGTTTTATGTCGGACAACTCCGCCTCATCTTCCGATCCAAAGGGGGTATTTGCCGCCGAAGCAGTGTCGAAGCTTGTTCGAGGATGAACCTCAGGCTTCTTCGGGATTGGGCCCTGTTTCGCCGAATGAGTATACTCCGATTTTTCAGACTTGTCGTCGGGGCTATCCGCCGAAGCTTCTATTGATATGTTAGTGATTACATAAGAGATAAAAGCGAGCAGAGGGGCACATACGCTCTTTCGAATCGGTCGTTGAGAAGCTTGTTTCATTGTCCCCGATAGGAGTAGCACGGTCTGGCGTTTTCTTTCGTCCACGCTCGGAACTAGCCTCATCATCGCTCGAGGTAGAATCATCGACTTCCTCTTCACTGGTTTCAATTAGGTTATTTTCGCTGTCGTACATGTCTTTCTCCAAACGTTCATCTCCAGGCGTTGGCGAACGGACATCGTCGTCAGATGATTGGCGGCGAGCTGCCGGTCTAACAGGTTGCTGTTTACTAGCGCTCTCTATCTCCGTCGGCTTCGACTTTTCTGCTGTCGGCTTGGTCGACTGGGATGCCGGGCTTCGAGAGCTCGGGCTGAGCCAGCGATTCTTTGGGGACAAGCGCGAGTCCAACGAGGTCCCGCGCGCTGAGTTGTTCCGTGACGAGCTTCTCCCTCTCGTGAAACTCGGCAATCCGACCCGTATATCCAGACCGGACATCACCGCTGCCATGGCGTTCCTGCCCTGCAGGGCCTTGGTGGGCGGTTTTTCCTGTGCCTGGCTCGCACGCCGTTGAGAGAGGACACTAGGCGGCATTGTGACTGAATCGTCCCAGCGGATACTCGGCCGGGGTCTATTATTATTATCGGTTTTGCTATCCTTGGTGACCGAAAGCGGGTCGCTGGATCTGCGGGGAGCGTCCTCGGAATCAGTGGAAGATTTCTTCTGCGGGAGGGGCGGGGGAGCCACGGCCGATGTCGTGCGTCGTGGGGTGGAAGTTTTTTTGACAGGAGGAGGTGCAGTGCTAGACGTAGTTGTGACCAGAGGTTCATGCCAGCTGCGTCGCGCGGAAGGGGGAGTCACGCCGACGCCAATGCCGGCGATGGACCCATGCCGTGGAGGCAGGGCCCCAGGCGATGGAGCAATATCCAGCAGGCTCCGCGCTGGGGCCGTCGGGGTTGTTCTGTGGTTCCGCCGCGAGCCCGTACCGTTGCGACCTTCATATTCATGAACAAGCTCACGGCGCTCTTCTTCCAGAGCGGTTTCCAGCGACATTGCGGCGGGTTTCCTACTGTAGTAGTGCTGCATCGTGGGTGGCGCCGCTGCGGCGGTTGATAAGCTGTGGAGAACCGAGTCGTACCAGAATCAAGAGGCTGGCCAAACAGCTGTGGAATGTGGAGATCGACCGCCTAATGACGGCTTTAGCTCGGGTCTGGACGGGGGCGTCCGCACTTCCGCATTCAGCGGCGGACGCTGTTTGGTCGTGCTAGTATAAACCGTATAGTGTGCAAATTGGAGGGGGGGGGGGGGGTTTGGTTCTGAAGAAGATCAACAAAACCACACTGTGGGTTGTTTGAAGAAGAAGAAACTGTCAAGTCGATCCAAATGCCACCACCGTCTTTAGTCGGTAGTTTTAAAAACTCAACGACTCCTCTTCCACGTGTAGGCAGCCGTGTCTATCACGGGCGATCTTCCACTAGTTTCTCTCCGGTCGCTGCCAAGAAGAGGAGACTTGTTTTGGCTTGAATCACAATGGTCCTTGGGAGGGCTTGTTTAGGGTGAGGAGGGACGTCGCCACTACTATGGTGGTGGTAATTCGAAGCGACGACGATTGGTGTTCAAGGAGTAAGAGGGGTTATAATCAATTATTATTGGGCGCTGTTAAGCTCGCAAGTTTGTCTGCAAGGGACCTTTTTTTCAGTTAGCACCCATGGCAGGAGCTCTCCAGCGTCCAGAGGGTCTTCTTCTGCTTCTTTGTCCCCGAGGAATCCACTTTCACGACCGTCGGGCCACGGAATGAATCAAAGAAACTTCGCAGTGATCAGCAACCAGAGTCGATGCCGCAAAGGATATTTGACAGAAAGTTTCAATGCAAAAAGGGGATCAGCCGAAAAATCCAAAGACAAGAAAAAAGTAAGAAAAAAAAAGGATCCCAGAGAACTCAAGAGGCACTCACCAAGAGCTCGGGCATTTATGGCGGGGCAACAGCGAGAGGGATTTGATCTGGGTTTCTGAGGGGAGAACCGAAAGGGGGGGAAGAATAAAACATAATTTAGACAAGAAAAAAAAAAAGAAGAAAAGAAGATCCAATGTCAAAAGGGCTGAACTCTATGCCGGCGATGTCATGAGTATCACTCCCTCATTTGGTGTCACTTCCAATCCCTTGCGTCTATCACAAGGTGCATGAAGACGAGACGGTGGCTTAACCCGAGTGAAGTTACTAGGATTTCAATGGGTACCAACGCCGTTACACGAGAATCAATTGTAGCCTAATGGTTCATTCACGCCATTGCCAATCATCGCCTCTTCAAGAGGAATCTAGATAATAATAATTGACCAGGGATGGTACTGCTGGCTCGTATTACCCTACAACTGTCGGGACTCTATGTAGATGTAGAACAATGGGCTCACGGTGCGCTAATCATGATGTTAAGATGCCCTTCGATAGAACTACCAACAAAAAAAAAAAAAAGGAGTCATTAGTTTCGTCTTTATGACATATGTCTTGTAACATGAAGAGTCCAGGTCGTTCGAATCTCGCTGTATGACGACGAAGTTCCCTAAAATAAAACAACCAGCAGGACCAAGAAATATCCGTATGGGTCTCCCAGAACTCCTACTCCAGAAAAACAATGGCCAGTATCAACAAACAAAAAGAAGCAAGAGGAAGTTCCAAAACAGCCAACGGGGTTCTGTCCACGCGCATCGCTTATGTAGCCCTCTTCTTTTTCGAGCTGCGTCGAGCTGCGGTGGCTTCAAAAGCTTCTTCAGGAGGCTCCTCAAATTTCGCCCCTCGTTTCTTGCCAGGGGCATATTTCGCCTCGAGTTTATCAAAGAAGGACTCGGCACGGGAAGCCTGTCGCTGCTGAATCAGAGCGACTAGATCGCTGTCATCCATAGCAGAGGTCTTCTTTTTCTTTCCCTTCTTCGCCTTAGTAGTCCCCTTGACTTCTTCCTTCTCCTCAAGTTCTTTAGCAGCCTCCTCGGCCTCTTTGGCTTCCTTCTGTGCACGTTTGAATCTCTGCTGTCGCTTCCTTTCCGGCTCCTCAGAGTACTTCTTGTACTTCTCAACCTTGCCATCGGCAATCGCCTTGTCAATGAGGGCGCGGAAGCGTTCATCGTCATCAAGCACGTTACACAACATTACCGACTCATAAATCTTGTCCATATCGCCTCGGTATTTCTCAAACGCCGCGAGCAGGTCGCTCTCTTCCTCTTCCGAGCCCTGATACTCCTGCTTGAATTTATCGAGCGCCTTTACATCGATTGCACTCGAAAATTGTTCACGATAGAAGTCTGTCCAGTTGAAGTCGTCATCCTCGTCCACTGCCTCGGCGGTACTGCCTGTCAGGTCGAATCGGCGGCGACGTCGCTCGTCCGACAGAATCGCATAGGCGAAGGCGATCTGCTGGAACTTCTTGTTTGCTTCTTGTTTTTGATCCTCGGGGGCCTTGTCTATTGTATTGTTAGAATAGGGTCACTTTTCTCACGGTTTTCTTATTCTGAGGTATCAAGTATAAATAGTACACTCAGGCCAAGGATATGTAAATGGGCGTTACTCACCAGGATGATGCTTCAACGCCAGCTTCCTGTATGCGGATTTGATCTGATCTGCAGTCGCATCCCCTTGAACCCCCAAGGTCTCATAGAGGTCAGTCTCAAGGGGAGCCTCTTCAGGGATATCGGGGACGTCATCTTCGTGTGGCATAATGAAAGGTAGAAAGAAGTGTGAAACGAAAGCCACAGAATAGATAATGATCACAGCTCACCGCCTCCCAAAGATCCAGTAGGACCGAAAGAGCAGAGAAGGAATGGGGGCACAGGACAAGAAAACACTCACAGAGAAGGCGAAGTGAATTGATTCACAGCAACAGACGCGTTGAGACGCGCCCATTGGGAAAACCATTTTGCTTACCCAACTGGGTTAGATCGGCCAATGGAGCTCTCCCCGCCTTCGATGTCATTGATCTTTAATTTATTTCCGTTTAGTCTTTCACACTTAAATTTATTTAACTTCGGTTCTCTGATGTATATACCAGTTTGATACCTTAAATCGTTGTTTTCTCTCCTTGAAACATTGCTATATATATATATATATACATATTTTCTATACATGACCATCATGCAATCCCCACACGTCAAATACCTTCGAGAATGCCTCTCTCTGGCCGAAAAATCCCCACCCCGCCCGACCAACTTTCGCGTCGGCGCCATCCTCGTCTCCCGCAAAGAAGGCGATTACAAGACTGAAGACGACCGGATCGTCTCGACCGGCTACACAATGGAACTAGCGGGTAATACACACGCCGAGCAGTGCTGTCTGTCTAACTACGCCGCCGTGCATTCCGTGCCAGAAGACCGCGTGTGGGAGGTATTGCCATCTGAACCAGACCGAAAGCTAGTCATGTACGTCACAATGGAGCCATGCGGGAAGCGACTGTCGGGCAATCTGCCATGTGTGCAGAGGGTTATCCGGACTCGTCAGGGGGATCGCAAGGGCATCCAGAAGGTCTATTTTGGGGTCAAGGAGCCGGGGACGTTTGTCGGTGGCTCAGAGGGGTGTAAGATGTTGACCGCGGCCGGGATTGATTGGCAGGTTGTCAATGGACTGGAGAAGGATATTCTGGAGGTGGCGGTGGCTGGACATGAGAATCGCGAAGAGGAGGTCAAGGCCGCTTTGGACACAGTTGAGACCAACCTAGATGACATCAGCGACGACGAGCGGCGCAGACAGCAGGAAGCGCAAAGGAATCCAAAGAAAAGAATGGTGGAAGCCAACTTGCTCAGCTGATCCAGCTGTCCTAGCACGAGATACATGCGATATGACGGAGCATGAATGATAGTTAGAGATAACGTATTATACATACTACTAGTACATACTACCACCTGCCTGACACTGCAGCTATGGTGGCCCCCTCGCGTGAAACGCAGTCACATGCCTCAACAATCATGCCAACGTTTCTTCCAAGCTCCAGGGTCAGCCGCTATCCCTGCGCCGAGAAGGATTTAGTTATCTGCAGCTTTCTCTTGGCATTGATGGCATCGATTGTGGTTGAGCTGCAGCAGTTAGCCATTATCTTATCTTACCCCACATCTTTTCCGCCGGAAAAAGGCGTCTCCACGAATTTCCGCTGCATAACGACCGAGACATTGTACCCAAGGTCGCGTACTGCGCAGTACACTGTCCGACAGGCTAAGTGGATGGAAATTAGGGATAAATTACAGTCCTAGCGGCCTATATCATGCAGAGCCAACGACGACCATACCGCTCCCACAAAGTCCCCGCGTGTGAGCGCTGTCGCCGTTTCAAGCGTCGATGTACCGGTGGAACTCCAGACCAGCCCTGTGTGCTATGCAGCCTACAGGAAGTTCCTTGTATAATATCTAGTAGTCCTAAATCGTCGTCTAGGCCCCGCCGCGGAGTGAAGCATGACCAGCGACGTACCCAGACATCACGAATTGCACCCTTCACTCCCATTGATAAAGTACCGTCACCGGCTCCGGCCGATGGAGAAGTCGGCCAAGAACATATCGGGCGTGACTATCATGGCTCACCAGGTCAAGATCAATCTAAGGTCGAACTATCCATGTTTGCCAGTCCTGTCATCTCCGAAGACATAAAAATCCTGGAGCGATACATGTCTTCTAAATCCAGTTCGCTATCGACTGGAGAAAGAAGTGGGTCCTCGGATACTCCGATGGTGTACCTTAGAGCTCCCCGGCGGAGAGAAGGCCTGTCGATGGCAGCGAATCCGGGGAAGCGACAGAAAGAGATAGTATTGCAAGTCCTTCAACCGTATACCGATGAACTGATCAGACTGTACGCCAGCTACCCCTTGGGATCTATTACACCACTAACATTTGGTAAGGTATTTCGAGGAGATCCACCCAGCGTTCCCTCTCCTTGATGAGCAACTATTCATGGAGTTGTATAAAGCCGGCGACAAGCTGTCACCAGTCCTAGTCTGCTATTTCTTTTCCGTGTCCTTAATCCTTTGGCATCATTCGCCTGTGCTCAGGCAATTTCCGAAGCCGGACATATATTTTATATGGAACCTGGCTGTGGAGGCTTTGCAACAGGACTTTCTAGCCCCTGCATTGTCGACCATGTACTCGGTGTTATTGGACATGGGTGGGCGACCTATCTATTCCATGCTTGTGAACATCATCAACAACGGCCGAGCCGTTACCCTAGCTCAGACTCTAGGGCTAAACCGTGACCCGACTCATTGGAGACGGCCCAAGAGCGAAAAATCGCTGCGTATTCGTCTCTGGTGGGCAGTCGTCATTCATGACCGCTGGTTAGTGAGCTTCTACCTCCTTTGGTGATAATTTTCTCTAACCAAACTTGCAGGTCGAGTTTTGCCCATGGCATCAGTCCAACCATAACCAAAGCTAGATACGATGTACCCATCCCTATGCTAGAGGATATAATCACAGATTCAAATCAATCGGACACACGCATCAAAGCTGCAAACTCATTCATCCACCTTTGCACCCTCACCGAAATCCTGGGAGAAGTTCTACCACTAGTCTATGACTTAAACCTCAACCCAAAGGAGACCTGGAAGCAGATCCGCCGTTTCGAGACAGACCTAGACGAATGGGAAGATCGTCTGCCGAACTACCTCCGCCGTGATCATGACGAGAACACGAGAGTGTCTGGATCAAGCAGTCTACAACTAAGTTATCTTGCCGTCCGATTACTGCTGAACCGAATCTCTCTGCATGTTAGTAATCCCTTTCATGCTCAACACCACCTCCATGGAAAGCAATGCTAAAAAGTGGCCAAAATCAAGGCAGCAGCCCTATCAACAGACATCGACCGTCTCCAAACCACACGCTACCACCTCTCCCAGCTCCGCAAATCTGCCCAAGAGATCGTAAACTACGTCTGCTCCCTCACCAAAGCCCAATTACAAGAATTCTGGCTTCCATGTATGTACCCACCCACACGCCCCTCCACATTCCCTTGAAGTGCCCCCTCCCACATACCCCCCCCCTGACATCAAGACCACCAAATCCAGATACAGCCCACCACCTAATCTTAACCGTAATAATCCTCCTGCGTTGCACCATCGAATCAACGGACAAAATTATAATCTCAACCTGCAAAACAAGCCTCCAACACCTCTGGACGACGCTCCAAACCGCCGCCGAAGACGGCTGGGATCTGGCGACGATGTGCATCTCGCAGTGTAAGGAGTCGGTGTCGAAGGTTCTTGATGGCGATGTAAGGGGGCCCAATGTTGTTGGCGGTGAGGAGCACCAGCAGTTACACCAGCAGCAGGGAGGAGATGGGAGACTACTTCCTATTCAGGGCGATGGGAGGAGTCCTGCAATGCAGAGTATGGGCGGGGGGGAGTTGTTGCCGGATATACTTCCTTTTTCGAATCCGGATATCTCGTTCGATAACCAGTGGGATTTCGGGTCGTTGTATGGGCTGGGGTGGATGGGGATGGATGGATTTGGGGCTTATGAGGCCGGGAATCAGGGGGCATTTTGATTTGTTGTATGAGGATGTATTGTATAGAACGGTTATGGACTCAATGTAGGCATGATGTGTGTATTTTCATTGTGCAAAGGTATAGATACCAGAGTGTGGAAGAAACACAGGAGATCAATATCAATTAATCTTCTGACCCTGTCCCTCATACCTCCAATTACTGACATACGCGTCCGTAGTCCCCAATCCACCATTACTCGTAGCGTAAACTCCAACAAGCGTACCTGATGCCATCAGTACATCGTTTCCTTTCCAGGCAACCCAGAAAAGAAGAGAGAAAGGAAGGAAGGAAGGGACTTACCAGTAAACCTCCCGGTATCACCACTAACAATCCTCGAATCCGCATACCCAACGACGGCCTTCTGAGCCGGCGTCTTGACCGACGCAACAGAGAATTCATACTGGGCATCACTCACAGCTTGGATCTGGAACCGGATCGGCTCTCCCCTCCACCCCTCCGGAACAGGCACGATCTTTCCCGGAAGCGAACCTTCATAGTTCCCATGGCCTTCGACCCGGAGTCGGAATGCCGGGGAGGATGTTCCGTTTTGCGATGATAGTAATACGAGGCCCAGGTCGACGTGTTGGGCCTGGGTGAGGAAGAGGGTGACGCCGGCTTCTTCATCGGTGACCTGAGGGTCGAATGCAACGTCCACACTGTAGGTGAACAGAGTATCTGTTTGGCGACGGGTAATGAGAGTTATACCCTGGTCTGGAGTGAAGGACGCATCTCCCGTGATGTTGTAGAGGGAGGGTGTCAAACGGAGGGTATTCGGGTGGTCCGGTGGAGATACAGCGAAGTTCGAAGTCTGCGGATACCGCCAATACAAGAAATGAGAAGGGATCGAGTCTCCCGGAGCAAAAGTAACTTTATCTGGCTCGTCGACAAAGTGCCCGTCGCCTTTTACGTCCTTATTCTCTCGAGGCAGCGGTCCTCGCATCTGGCCTCGCACCGGCTGGACAACGGGCCACTCTCCTTCGTCCCAGGTAGCAGGGGCCAGAACCGTCTCGCGGCCCATGGGGTAGTTCTTCCATTCGGGTCCGGACCGGGTGCTGAGGGCCACGGCCCACCAGTTTCCGGTCCCATCTTGGAACAAGTCGGCGTGGCCGACTGTTTGGAAGTACTGGGTCGTATTCCTGTTCGTTAGGATTGGATTATGGGGACATAGCTCCCACGGCCCGGTGCGTTTCTTGGAACGGACCATTGTCTCTGCATGGTTGAGCTCGGTGCCTCCTTCGGCGATCATCAGGTAATAGTAGTCGTCCTTGCGGTACAGATGGGGTCCTTCGGGCGAGGCACCCCCCGTTCCGTTCCAGAGGTAGGTTACGGGGCCGGTTTCCCCGGTTTGGAGGTCGAGGGAGTAGTGCTGGATTCGGGCGTCGTCAGCTGAGGTGACATATACGGTGCCGTCGTCGTCCCAGAAGATGTCCGGGTCGATGCCCCGGACAGAGAATTCCAGTGGGTCGCTCCATGCGGCGTCACTGTAGGGATCCGATGAGGTGAAGACGAGGCCTTTAACCTCTGGGCCGAGGAAGGAGACTATCAGGTAGAAGGTTCCATCGCGGTAGCGGAGTGTTGGTGCGTAGATTCCTCCTTGTTGATTTGTGGTGTCGCTAAGGGATGGGATTTGGCTAGGTCTGTTGAAGACGTTGCTGACTAGTTTCCAACTTTGGAGATCTTTTGTGGCATAGATTGGGAGTCCGGGGAATGCGATGAACGTCGATGTCACGCAGAAGATTGTGTCGTCTTCCTTGACATAGACACATGACGGATCAGAGTGCCATCCGGGCAGGATTGGATTTGTGTATGGCGACAGTCCAGTTGGTTGGCAAAGGGTGGAAGTCGCCAATGCTAAAAAGGACAACGTCGAGAATCCAGGGGACCACATGATGCTCGAGAAGTGTTTACTGGTCCATTGTTGGTGTTGGAGCAAGCTCTATCAGCGACTCTTATACCTGGGGGTAAATTGTGGGGAAATGGGGCTACTGCCGATCATTAGATATTGAATCCAGAACATTAACCGATTGACGCACAACGGCATGTGTATTCAGGCTAAAAGGTTGACTGCCTTGTATGGATGAATATAAAGCCACTAATCAACTTGTTACCCCGCGCATCTGTGGGGAACAGGCAAGAAAATCGGCCGATATGGGCAGGGTAAACATGGATTCTTTCGGGACAGTCAGAGCCGAGTACTCGGGTGTTGCGCTCTTCTCCTCATGTTCTGCTTAGGCCTTTTGCAAAACGCTTGACCAGTCTTCTTTTTTCATCCATTGTTCCAAACTAGTCATTGGGCAGTCTATTCCAGCCTAATCGCATCGTAAATGAGCACCGATTGCATGAAAGAGCTCGAAGATTGGAAAGAAGCATGGTCTAACTTACTTTTCGGATATCTACCGCATGCAGTAGCTCTCTTTCACCACCATCGTACCCCGGCTCGGTCGAATATGCAAACATGTCCCCCACTTCCCGACCAAATTCTGCATCGGGTGTTCGATCTATTAATTCTCCCAACGAGATCTGCCGATAGGATGCTCGCACTGAGTTCACCTCACTCCACAATCTCATATACTCCGCCCAGCTGCACGTCGTGCCTTCAGCCATGTAACTCTTCCCAGGCGGCATCTTAGCCACCGCGTACACAAAATGCCCCATATCCGCATTGACATGGAAATGAGGTACCACTGCGTCTGGAGCAGTAGGGAACGTCATCTCAATGGAGCCATCATTAGCTCTCCCGAAGTAAGCATCTGGGACCAGCTTATAGCTGGACATGAAATATCCCGTCTGCACGCAAGACATCTTCCGAGACAGCTCTGGGTGATTACTTTGCACGTAGCTTGGGAAGACGTCTGCCTTCGCATCAAAATGGTACAGCTCTTCGAATTTGCCCCCGCTACACCTCCCAGCGTGGCTCAACGTCGACACAATAAATCCATTTTCATCTAAAGTGTCGACAGTTGCTGCTGCCGCGTCGGCAATATTCTTGCCCTGTTGGTATTCAACATCGTAGGCGTACCTGCGGCAGGATATGCCCAGCTCAGCAGCCTTCTGCCGGCAGTCTGCTCGGAAGAACGGCTCCCAGTAATTGGTGACGCTGAAAATAACGTTGGCACCTGCAAAAGCTGACTTTAGGCTAGCCGCATCGTCGAGGTTAGCCTGGACAATCTCTATCCCCTGCGCAGCGAGCTCCTGGGATTTGCTCGAAGAGGGGTTGCGCGTTAGGCCCCGGACATGATAAGTGGGGTCCTGGAGGAATCGCTGAACAACAGAACCACCTTGATTCCCTGTAACACCAACGATGCAGATCGTTTTAGTGGGATGCATTATGCTGAATATAGTCTATCTCTATCCGGAATTACTCGCTGAGGCTGTATTTTCCGTGGACATGAACGCAGTTGGAATAATCAATGGAAGCTTTTGCCCCGCGTCGTATGGGAGATTAGGTGTGGGACCACATGATCCCTCATCACCTGGTTGTCGTGTCCAAGTGGCTCTTTAAAAACTTGGTGAGAATTGCTGGTTATGGATTGACCAGCGTCTTTGCTGTATCTGCTACTGCATTTCATTGCTCCGACTCTGGATTACCAAGGCAGTGTTCAACCTTTGACTGCAACACTTATATAAGCCTGAATTCAGCCCCGCTTATTGAGCTAAAGATTTATATCAAGATCCATCATTTATTCACGTTGTTCGCCGCCATCTCTATATTTCACTATGCTTTAGAAAGCATGCGACTGGAATGTCTCCTCTTGGATGACGGTTGAGCATCCACTGTTGGAAAGTAGCAATTTAGTCTAGTTTTTATCTTGAGAAACTAGGGAAGAAGAAGAAGAAGAAGAAGAAGAAGAAGAAGAAGAGGATGAGGAAGAAGAGGAGGAAGAAGAATATTTCACAAAAACAAAGCTCAATAATGGTCAATGGTTGAACTGTGAGTTACTTGCTATGGGCTAATAATGCAGCGCTCTAGCGAATATATATCATCTTCTACTATTACGAAATCCTTTAATTTCCCAAACCAATAAACCTTAGATTAGCCCTCATTTAAACAAAGTTCCCCTCAAATCTAAGTCAATATCCGCTCAGCACTATATAAAATCTCCCAAATCCTCACAAGAAGCTCACATATACAATAGTAATAATAGGTCACGATGAGATCTGACATCATACTGCAGCCTAAGGCACTACCAAAAACACCCCTCGATAGTAAACACACGTGACTAACCGATAGCATGATCGGCGCCTACCAGAAACAAAGCAACCCCAAGACCGAACCTCAACAGTCCCATCCCCCATCATCCACAGCCGGAAAAATGACCCGATGGCGACAGTCGACGATGGCGAACTCGTCTTTTACCCGGCATTCTGCTTCCGAGCATCCCCGACGCATTTCGCCTGGGTAAAGATGGGAGCAGTAGATGTGCATTTACTTAAAAGGAGGGCTGGATTTGAAGGTATGATTTTACCGTTATTTTCAACCGTTTTGTGGGTCATTCGCGGGTTTGTTGCTTTGCTTTGAACCTGGGTGTTTATTTTCGTTTTGGATTGTTTCCCTTGGGGAAGGAGGTGTGCTCGTTTGTTTTGATTGGGATTGTCGAATTGTATCCCAGATTTGAATGGCGCCGCTTCAATAAGCAACATGCACGGCCTTATTCTTTCAGGGCGCCGGATTTCCATATCTCATGTTAAGGATTCGTTGCTCGATTGTCGGTGTAGCATACATAGGTTATAGAAGACTACGTCTAACGTCCAATTTAGACCAATCCACATTCTTCTACATGAACCACCCTATCCGCTTCGTCTCTCTAGTCGGTATCATCGTCGCCAGGACAGAATACCCCACGCTAACCATCCTCACGGTTGACGACAGCAGTGGCGCAACAATCGACATCATTGTCCTCAAAGCTCCAGTTACCGATGACGATGGTGACCAGTCCGTTCAAAGCGGCAGAAGAGGGGGCCTGCAGTCTGCATGTGCGACTAAACATGTCGCAGCTACAAATAAGACAACCGTGGATACAACGGCCTTGGTCCCAGGTGTCGTGGTGCAGGTGAAGGGGACGTTATCGATGTTTCGGGCTACAATGCAGATTCAATTGGAGCGGGTTTCCGTGGTCCAGGACACAAACGCCGAAATACAATTTCTGGATCAGCGGAGTCGATATCTTGTTGAGGTGCTTTCTGTGCCGTGGAGTTTGGCGGAAGAGGAGGTTGAGCGATTGCGGTCCGAGGCGGATGATGAAGAGGAGAGACTTGAGGAGGAGCAGGAGAGGATAAAAAGACGGCAGCGAAGACGGATTGAGCGGGAGGAGAAGGACCAGAGGAGAATCCAGAAGTTATGGGAGCGAGAAGAGAGACTCAGAGCCAAGGAGGCTTTGTATAGCCGGGATGCTGGAGCAAAATTCATGCGTGAATTCGAGGAAAGAAAAGTATAGTACAGTCGAAGCAGTCATATTGAATGCTGTGTTGTGCCACCCTACCGAAAAAAAAAAATATTCTAGACTCAACATGGCTTGAGCAGAAGTATCACAGTGCCAAGAAAAGCACAACTTAATGATATGTTACATGCAGCGGAACTAAATAGACATGGCCGTAACACATAACTCATTGCAAGAAATGACTCGCTGGCCGCAAAAGCAAACAACAAATAAGAAAAATAAAGAGTGCATCATGGGAATCACTTTAAATTTCAAATCACGGCAGAACAGGTAAAGGAGGGGACAGAAAAAAGAACAAATGAAGATGCTAAAGCCACGATGGGGTTCGTTTCGGGTCATCACTTATAAGTATACGTCTTGTAGTCATATCCACTACCGCTGCCAACTGGGCCTCCTTGGCTACCGAGTGCGTCGCGATAGTAGCCTTCTTCTCCATCCCAGCTGCTTCGATGGGGAAGGTAGTCGTTATATTTGTTCTTCTCGCGTTCCCGTTCACGCTCTCGGAGAGACTCGTACAGTCGTTGGTCTTCATCGCGACTAGAGTCTCGGTAGAATCGATTGTCTTCACGTACGTCTCCTGAGCTGGTGGAGGCGCCAGAACGGTAATAGTGATTATCGTCGACTTCGTATCCAGAGTTACCATTGTATCCCAGCAAATCACCCTCAGAGTGTCTGTATTCACTACCTATCCGGGATCCTCGTGGCGGGCTCCCTGACCGCCTCATGGTGGTTAGAGGAGGCTGAGTAGTGCTTGGTCGAACGTAGGTAGGGTCAAGGCCCTGAGACTCTGAAGCTCTGGGCTCCGAGGAAGCTAAAGTATCCCTTGAAACGGAGCCTGCGGAGAACGAGGATGTATGTCGATGGGTAGGTTCTTGAAAGTCACTATACTCCTTTCCACCTCCTGGATGTACGGAGTATGGTTTCCTCTGTCGTTCTATGGGACGCGAAGGAATGTCGAGTTCTTCCTCGTCACTGTCTACCGCCGTGGAAACAGACGCCTGGTATGGCTTTCGTTCTCGCTCACTGTGTGAAGGGCCTGGAGCGGCAGTGGATGTGGCAGAGCCTTCGTGATGCGCTTTGAATTTCTCAAACTCCTTATCCAAGTCAACTCTGCAATGCTCCTGTATACACTCCTTGATATGTTCTTGCACCTCAGACTTTAGTATTTTTTCGAAAGGGAACAACGATTGTGGGATCTCCTTAGGAAACCTCTCCTTTCTGTTGTCTGGATTGCTAATAGGCATGTTCAGCACGGCTTTCTGCAGTCGCTTATATTCCGTCTCGGGGTTGACTTGTATCATCAAGGTAGCCCATGTCTCAAAGCCTCGCGGCGTGAGGCCAGGGATATATGGTCTATCATGGAACTGATTCTCTTCCTGCACGAGATGGTGTTCGGCTTTGACCTCTCGGAACAATCTCGAAACATGTGACGTCTCATCATCGAAGATATCTAAGTGGCAAAGGTTATCTGTGCCCACTCACAAAGAGTACCAAACCCAACTTACATTTCCAAGGATAATAGTCCCCTGGTACTCTGGTGTCTTCATAAAACCTTTGTAGCTTTGCGGGAAGTATGACTAGACTGTTTTTGGGTTCATAGTCTTCGATCTGGCATCAGGTTAGATGAAGAATTCATCAACTTATAGTAATACTAACCAAGTGAACAGCAATCCCACGCAAGACCTGAGTCAGCTTCTTAGTTGGCTTTCCATCCTCAAAAAGTGTCCCCCATATTCTTTCTAGCGTCGTCAACTCCGTGACGGTGGCCTCTCTCGACGGCGGTTTTGGTCGGGATTCCATTCTCTGGCTATGTTCACTCATCTGACTAGCTGGAGATCCTCGTCTCTCTGATGGCAGCGCCGGGGATGCTCTGGGTTGGAGATGGGGGCTGCCGGAGTATCCCGTGGACGGTGGTCGTGGTTGATAAGCGGGATTATCATAGGCGACGTGGGGCGACGAGACTGAAGTATCTTGTGTCGCCATGACCGGAGAAGAGGCGAAGTCATTGGGGTAGGTAGGATGTGCCTCAGTTGCCCATTGTTTGGGCGGCCGAGGCGGGGGCTGCGGGGCCTGGTATTGGTCGGTTTGTAGGTTCTCCAAGCCTGTCTCTTTGAGCTGTTGGATGACATTCGCCGTTATCTGGGTCAAAACCTCCGGGGATAGATAGGTAGATGTGTCAGCTTTGTGAAATGCGGAGTTAACAGCCTCGTTGATCCTCCCATTGTAGGGCTGTTGCCAGGTATGCGGCTGCGTTGGGGGAGGTTGAACATCCGCGTATGGATTTGCTGGGGGTGGAGGAGGAACTTGAGGTTGCGGCATATTGTGGTGCTCATGGCCATACTGAGATGGATAAGGCGGCGTGTAAGACGAAGCGCGGGGCTCGTTTAGATTCATTTGATTCGCATTGCCCGGTTGATAGGAAGGGGCCGGGTTATTCTGATATCCATCGTAAGCCATAAGGATAATGGTCTTGGGCGTCGAGTCGCTTGTCGTGTATTTCCTTCGCGAGGTGGTCGGATTGGAAGTGATCGATACGGTTAGAAAAGGGAAACGATAAATGAATCAAGCGATAAATTACGGCCGAATCGCAAGTGGCGAAGTCTTTGGTTGTACTACGTGGCTTTTGTGTGCGCAAAGAAAAAGAAGAGCGAAAAGAGTGACAAAGACCAAGTGACGATATGGAGGGGTCTTGCGGGGAGTGGAGCGTGAAACAACTCGGATGTGTGTGTATGAATGAACTTGAACCATCACACAGTTGCAGCTGCCCAGAGAAAGCGTGAAATGCAAAAGCCTGATAACAAAGCAGCAGCAGGAAAAAAAAATCATTGCATTGTTTTGGGATAGAGACAGAGAATAATAATCGTATAATAAATCATGAGGAACAGAAAGAGTTTAAACGTTGAACTAATTTGATCGCAGCCGCCAACGCCAGCCATACGTCACCGCCCATGCACATCTCCAGATGCATCGTACTTTTTTTGGTTCCTCATCTGTGACCCTCATCAATGTAGTAGCTAGCGCCGAGGACTCATAACTGGTGTGCTAATGTTGCGAGATGAATTGCGCGATGTATTGCGAGAGGCCGACGCTGCTTTGCTAGAGGCTCTACTACTAGGGGACCTTGAAGAGCTCGTTTTCTTGGAAGTGGTGTAATCGACCTCGTGGTCTTTCCACCAGCTCCTTCTCCTCGGAGTCACTGTCGTCCCAATCTTCCGTATCAAGATCTGCGGCGCCGCTCAACCCCAATGCTCGAGTCAAGAGCCATTGCATTTCTAACAGTTCAAAAGACGGCAGAGGATATTCATCAGGGTCAGTTGTTGTGATTGTTATAATATCCCCTGAATAAATCTGCTTTCCTGATTTACAGTTGAAAAGCTTAATCCTTTTCCCGGTATGACCGAGATTCGATGGGGTAGATGGTATTGTCTTAAGATCAATTGTCTTTCTGTGTTTTGATATAGGGATCCAGAAAAACCGTACTGTCAAGATTTTACGGTTGACAGATACTTCGAGTGGCTGTAAAGTAAAACGAGCTCTGCCCCACAAACCATGAGAGTCCCGGAGAGGCACAGAACATTCTGTAATATTCCGTTTTCACCCATGACAGCATTCTTCCATTTCTGGATCGTATCTAGATGCCAAAAAGATTCGAGATACTGCAAAAACAGTTCCTGTTCAGTTTTTGACTTGCCCATCATGCTGTACGGATAGATATGTGCGACTTCAATAGGTCCTTCTTTACCGGTGAGTACACAACATCTATCCCGTATGACGCACTAACTAGTGTTAGCTGTGCTTCTATGTATACTGTGACAGGTAACAGATACAAACTTACCATTTCCTTTATGGACTCCGAGCGTTTTCTCTTTAGTGTTTTCGCTGGGTCTATATTGCGCACACGACTGGCCCCTTGGCATAGATTAGTATACTCAAAAGGTAGAAGGGTATATTACCTACACTGCATTAAGACCCGACGGTTGGGACCCGTTAGTGCCATTAAAAGTGGCCCTCTTTTCATACTACACAAATCCTCAAGTTATTCTATATCGGATAACCACAGCAGTGCCCAAGTTGTGCTTTCGAATTCCGGTACTATTGAGCCGAGCTTTTCAATCAGCTCACGTCGGCGAATATCCGATACCTCAGGCACAGCATCAGCATCAACAGCAGTGTTTTCTGACGCCACGATGATGTTAAGGGAACACAAAAGGTGTCAACAACAGAATGGGTGAGTGACGTCTGCTACTGCAGTCCGTCAAGACAGCAAAGGAGCTGTGACGATGCAAATGATCCTTGGAACAATGACCGTAGACCACTGTATCTCATCCAGTAGGTGGTTGGACTGGAAGGTTGGTAGGAAGCAGATCAGCAGGAAGGTTCAGAGCAGATCAGTGCCGCGAGCTTTGACAGGAGCAGCAATGGTGTTAGGCGATGAGACATAGCGATAAAAGAGAAATAGTGGAGGGGAGACAAATTTAACAAATTTACAAGTAACAGACAACCCGCTTGATGAGGATGTTGTCTTAGGATGTGAGTACTAGTACTAGTAGTAGTACTATTGTGTACAGTGTGTCCGTATAGTACTGTAACCCTGGAGGTGATGGATAAAAGGAAGGGAAGGAGGGCGAGGATTGGAGGCATCGTGTGTGGGTCCGAGAATACTAAGCGAATCAGGTAACAAGGGCAGGGGCTCGGTGGGTCAGTGGGGATGATCGACTCCAGCAGTGACGCCATTTCATAGGCCTTATCTAAATTTTGATTGATTTTAGAGCTTTAAATAGCTTCATTTATGAATGATTTAATTGCTTGAAGTGCTTTATTTTCTAAAATTTCTACCTGCCACTCGGATCCTCAGGGGTAAGTCAGTAGACCAGAACCAAGCCCCCCAAAATATTGACACGAAAACTCCTTTTAAGACCGATTTATATTTCTTCCAGGCCCTCAGAATGCCACGAATTCCATGGAAATTTGAAATTCAAATGACATATACCCTGGCTGAGCCAAAATATCATGAGGTCCTACAAGAGGTGCCTTAGGGGCTTGGCGGGTTAACCACGGCAATGTCCCATTTGGAATCAGTGGGTTGCTTTTACCGGACTCAACCACGGTTCCTGCTAACTTAGAGAAAATCCTCGATGTCAGCATGTTCACCCTTTTCATATGCCACATTCTCTCTGGTAGGGGCGGGGGTGCGTGATGTCCAGGGTTCGCTTCTCTCAACTCGCATTTTCTGGGCACAAGTGCGAGTCAGTTCTAAACCATTGTAGCGTCAATTATATCAGCCTTACCGGAATCTTTGCGAAGTTCGATGTTTTTTTCTGCGCTGAAGCTGAGGGTTTGCCGGCCCGAAAAGTATTTACTTGCGCAGAACTAGCCTCGATGCCCCAAGATGCCCACCCAGAGTGCACGCTTCTCGGCGCTGCGGTAGGCATGCTAAGGCGATGGGACATTCCCTGTTGGTAGTATCCAATATATTCACGCTCTTTGCTCTTAGTGGGAGGGTTGCCTTGAGGGCATTCGGGCTCAACCCAGACTCCGCCCCCTACGGAGTAGTCATCGTCATCCTCTTCCTCTTCCCCGTACCCAGTACTGTATGCGTAACCGTCGTCTGCCTGGCTCTTCGAGTCCGTTAATGTGATGAAAAGTTTGTCTACGCAAGGTAGGTTAATCTTAGTAGGGGACTTACGGACGTGGTAGTATCTTGAGCGGTGGACATATCGCTTTCTGCTAGCAGTTTTTGTTCCTCGAGAACAGGCTCAGTTTCCGTATGGTTCTGCACACAAGCCAAGCACCTCTATGAAGAACCACCATTAGCTTTGTAAAATAGACGCAGGAATGTTTTTCAAGACTTACTGCATGATCACGATCATGCCTCTGGTTCTTTGCAAACTCCTCAAGACCCTTGGTTTCGTCGCAAATGACGCACCGAAGCTCTACGGTCTGACCACCTACGCATTCTCTGCATTTGGCGTGTCCACGACCAGTGAGGGCTCGACCGCCTTTGACGACTATGGCATTTCGCAGGGCATCGAGCTGTCTCTTAGAATATGCGCTCTGCATGCGCATTTTGTTGCATGTCATGCACTTGACTCTGTAACAGAATAGCTGTAAGCTTCGTAAACTTCAGCTAAATAATGAAGGAGCCGTCGAACCTGTCGGGGATTACCACCCTCTCAAGCCTAGTGTTGTTAGCGAGTAAGTCCATTTCCTATGGGTCCGGTACGCAGACAAGGGTCAGCTTACTGTCTCTTGATAGCATCGCTATAGCCACCAGCATATGCGTTTCTCACTTTGTCGCCCATCGTGATATAAGTGGAAGACAAGGACAGATCTCAGAGGGGGATACGCGTGGAGCCAGACGAAGTGAAAAGGTCTGTATTAGACGATGACTAGGGGACGAGCTAAATAGTGATGCTGAAGAGATGATGTAAGAGTGTTAAAGATGAGTGAAATGTAGTTTGTGCTGGGTGGAGACAGAGCTCAAAGTTGAAATATGTGACTTAAGGACACAAGAACAGGCCAGCGCAGAGAATAGACGTGTTTTATAGAATGTTGCAAAGACGGCAATAAGCCCATTCAAGGTGAGGATTAGAGACCGTTGTGAAAGAGCAATGAATGAGCTTTTATTTTGACTAGAAGTCTACCTCTCAAGAAAGCGAGATGAGAAGAAGGGACCCGCTGGATGTGTGAGAGTAGTATTAAGATTCACCTCGCCTCCTGTTGCATTCACTCTGTTTGAATTCTGCCCATGGTAACCATATACATATTGTTTGGAGTGTTTGTGTGACAAGTATGCCAAACGGGAGGTATGCCTTAGATACACCCACTAGTACGTCGTGATAATTAAGTTGCAGAATATCTGGTCTCTAGGCTCCAGGTGAACATTCTCGTGGAAAGTCAGTTAGAAGTGGCTTTGGCTGAGTAAAATATATATCTGAAAAGAGACAATTTAATAAATAATTGAATGCTAATTAAATCGCCTTATTTGTTTATTGTCTGTAGTTTCGTCTTGCGTAGCAGGAAGTATACTCAGAAGCCCCAATAGCTCTTGGCTTTTGTTTTCTGAGACTCTTTGCAGTAGAAATGAAGCTTCCCCATTAAGGGCCAGATAAAGCTTTTTCGAGAAGTAAAAGTATTGAGAGCATGGAACCAAGGTAAGCTGGATCGAATCCTGTCTGCCCCAAGTGAATTCTTAATGTGCTTGCTCTGAGTTGCTGATGACACGTCAACCCAGGAAGCTTGTTGTCTTTTCTGTCAAGCAAGATATGCACAATTCAGTACCTTCATGAGATGATCGATCTCTATAGACTTGTGTAGCCTAGTGTTATTGCCGTCCATTGGCTTCACAGTCAATACAGAGCCCATCTGGAAGAAGTGTGTCGGGGTCCATATCTGCTCTGGCACAATCTTCATGGATGTTGACGTGCATTTCCTTTTTAAGCTAGCATATTTTCATT